CTCAAGCCAATCAGATAACAGCCTCACTTCGCTGATCAATCGTAGCACGATCTCGCTATAGCCAATCACAATTTGCTTTACAATCAGGGCGGTCTCGTCCTGAAAGAACTTCATTCATCTCCTTTGGCTCAAATAAGAAATATAAGGGCCATAAAAATTGGTATAGTAAAAGATGTTTAAAACTGGATTTTGTTAGACCATTAGACTGCGTATCAATCCAAGCCACAGGATTATAATTAACGTGCCTTTGAAAATGCCAGAGAAACAGCGCTTTAAATCACGGCTATGGGAACAATGCTGGATGCAAACACGTTATGGAAGCGTCATGTTATTCAAGATGGAAAGAAAGGCATCAATAAGTAACTGACTATTAAATAGCTGGATTCAACCTCATGATAAACATATGAGTTTGTGTAAGAGGTTAAATTGCCGTCACACAACAGCCAGCAGGGTTTCCCAGTTTTTCAGTCAAGCCGTTTAAATGATGTATGAACAGCAATGTGGATCTAACAATGTATGAAGCATTATAAATAATATTTTCAAACATGAATTAAAAGTATTACAAAGTTGCCATTGTTTGGGCAGGAAAAAATATATGTGGGTTCTTTTTTAAATGTGGTGCAGGTGTGTTGAATATAAATGCATATACATGTAAGACGAGATATTGGTTAAAACACTTGATCACGCAAACAATATTTCATATAAACCAGACTTACTAGTTTTAATTGTAAAAGTTACTTAACAGCATCCAAAGTAAATGCACAGTTTGTATTTACATGGTCCACTCACAAATCCCCAGTACACACTGCAATGATGCTGAGGCTGTTTGATATTATACGTTTTATTATGCCATTTATATGCCATATATTTGCATTGCGATCATGCTCGGGATCTGTGAATGATTAAGTTGTGTATAATCCTGAGTTTATCCTCATGCGCTGATCCTGAAGGAAAAGAAGCTTACACTCCAGCAATCTTTCGGAAACGGGTTTTTTTTTAACCACAACCATTTTAACCATTACAAACAGCACTTAAGCTCAATTTGAACGAAGTGTCCATGGAATGCAGTTCCTTACAGGGGTGCAAAATGAATCTGTCCCGCCCTGATTGTAAAGCAAATCGTGATTGGCTATAGCGAGATCGTGCTACGATTGGTCAGCGAAGTGAGGCTGTTATCTGATTGGCTTGAGCAGACGGTGGGTGGAGTCCACGCATTTGTGGATTGGTGTGTGTCTTGATGCTAGAAATGTTTCAAAATCCACAAATGCACAGCGAGTGATTCACAAACGGGTGCAGCGATCTACAAATGCACGGGATGCGATCCACAAATTAATGCCAGGCAAAGTTGTGTTTGTGACCTTAAAAAGATATTTGTGAATATGTTTTTTATTCGCAAATTGCATTTTATTTATTTGTGAGTTTATTTCATGTTTGTGAAACGCTAAGATTTATTTGTGGATCTCATTCTATTTATTCTTCGATATGTTTAATTTTTGTTAATCTCTTTACGTTTATTTGTGGATCATAATCTATTTATTTGGAATAAAGCAACAATTCTACCCCCATGCACTATCCCCTATAAATAAATAAATATATCATCTTTGAATCACAAATTAACTTGACCTAAGTTTAAACTTTAGTACACAAAATGCAAGGGGAAAAAAAGGGAAATGTAGGCCTACATATTATACAGAACACAGCTTTAGTAATATTGACTAACTATAACTATAATACATTTATAAAGCGTGTAATTGCTGTGTACAAAATTGTCATTGAATATGTTTTTGCAGTTCTTGTTGCATTTACCGTAACACGACTTTAACCGGTAGATGTCCTCAGCAAGCTACGTTTGCAGCGCATGCAAACAGTGAATTTAGCTAACGCCGGCTAAACGATTTTTAGAACTATATCTTTATCGTTATCTTTATAGTTATCGTGCTTGCTGTGAGAACGGGCCTTAAGACTGTACAAATGTTACTACTCCTTAACATATTGTTAAATAACCGTCTCTTTATTTTATTATTACTTAAGTTACAAATATTGCATTTGCGTAGATGTAAAAAAATATGTTATTGCTCTGTGTTATTTTAACATAAATCCTTTTAAATGATCAGCTTAAGAAATCCAAATGACTCCATAAATCACAGTAAATAAAGACAAGTATCATCAAACACGGGTCATTACATTAACTTTGTTAAAAACCTTTTTGTTACATTTATGGCACAGCAGATAATTGTGAGCTGCTAAGAAGGTGTGACAGATATGGCATATAAATAAACAAATTAGTCCGGTTTCATGAACGTGCGTATAGCACGATTTTCTGTTTCTATTTGGCATGCGATGTATATGCAGAAATTAACTTTGGCGTGCATATGATACACAATCAATGCTTGTACTAGAAAACAAGAAGTGGTGGTACTCTCCCCCACCCAAAAATAAACACATACAAACTAACTATAACTATAATACATTTATAAAGCGTGTAATTGCTGTGTACAAAATTGTCATTGAATATGTTTTTGCAGTTCTTGTTGCATTTACCGTAACACGACTTTAACCGGTAGATGTCCTCAGCAAGCTACGTGCAAACAGTGAATTTAGCTAACGCCGGCTAAACGATTTTTAGAACTATATCTTTATCGTTATCTTTATAGTTATCGTGCTTGCTGTGAGAACGGGCCTTAAGACTGTACAAATGTTACTACTCCTTAACATATTGTTAAATAACCGTCTCTTTATTTTATTATTACTTAAGTTACAAATATTGCATTTGCGTAGATGTAAAAAAATGTTATTGCTCTGTGTTATTTTAACATAAATCCTTTTAAATGATCAGCTTAAGAAATCCAAATGACTCCATAAATCACAGTAAATAAAGACAAGTATCATCAAACACGGGTCATTACATTAACTTTGTTAAAAACCTTTTTGTTACATTTATGGCACAGCAGATAATTGTGAGCTGCTAAGAAGGTGTGACAGATATGGCATATAAATAAACAAATTAGTCCGGTTTCATGAACGTGCGTATAGCACGATTTTCTGTTTCTATTTGGCATGCGATGTATATGCAGAAATTAACTTTGGCGTGCATATGATACACAATCAATGCTTGTACTAGAAAACAAGAAGTGGTGGTACTCTCCCCCACCCAAAAATAAACACATACAAACTAATTCATTTTAATATTTTTTTCTAGTTACATTTTATTAATCAAAATGCATGAGGGTCAAAGATGTTAAAGATGTCCGCATCAAAAGAAATGTACAAAAGTGATTATATGTCGATAGAAAGCACATTGAATGTAAGTAAAGTGTCGACTTTTAAGGTTTCAAATACGTTTTTGAAGAATAAAATGCCAAAATTTGGTTGAAATAATGTTACGTTGTCATTCAGTGTAACACGTATAGTTATGTACAGATTTATTCCGACGTGTACATATTAAAATATATAAAAGAATAAGAGAGCATATTACATTCTATTGTGTTTTAAGTGAGTAAAAGATTCTAGGCAAAAGCTAGGATGGTGGTAAATTGAAAAAATTTTAAATTACAACTAATTAGTATCTGGGGTGAGAGTAATTAGTCGTTTAATGTGTCATAAATAGATTTTTGTTTGTTGTAAATATGCCTGACAAGATTGTTACACTGAATGACGTTTTAGTGGCTCTCTTCTGTAAATCAGGGGAGAATGCATCATATTTATTTTTTGCTCCGAAAAACAAAAACAAAATTGCATTTACATTAAACAGAAAACTTTTTAAATTTTTTTTGGGGGGGGCAACAAATGCCAAAATTTGGTTGAAATAATGTTACGTTGTCATTCAGTGTAACACGTATAGTTATGTACAGATTTATTCCGACGTGTACATATTAAAATATATAAAAGAATAAGAGAGCATATTACATTCTATTGTGTTTTAAGTGAGTAAAAGATTCTAGGCAAAAGCTAGGATGGTGGTAAATTGAAAAAATTTAAAATTACAACTAATTAGTATCTGGGGTGAAAGTAATTAGTCGTTTAATGTGTCACAAATAGATTTTTGTTTGTTGTAAATATGCCTGACAAGATTGTTACACTGAATGACGTTTTAGTGGCTCTCTTCTGTAAATCAGGGGAGAATGCATCATATTTATTTTTTGCTCCGAAAAACAAAAACAAAATTGCATTTACATTAAACAGAAAACTTTTTAAATTTTTTTTGGGGGGGGCAACAACAATTCAGGGCTCTACGCTTATTTTTCTTTTTAGGAGCGCTTGTGCTCCTAACTTAAAAAATGTAGGAGCACCAAAATTTGATACAAAATTAGCCTTCCCATTATGAGGTGATATTTGACTCCTTAAAGTGATTTACAGTAGAATTTAGTTTTTACCTCTGTAATGGCATTTGTCTATCTTTATTAAAAGTATGTCATCTTTTGTCACTTTTTAAAAATTCTAGATAAAACCATAGAATAAGAACAAGTAGAATAAGAAGAATAAGTTACTAATCAAATGAAATCAGTATTAAAATTAATTTGTAAAGAGGTGGCACAGAAGAACACAAAAGTGGCTTGTCGGTGTATTTTCAGACATTTAATGAGGATCAGAGGTGGCACGAGTGCAATTAAATCCATAAATTCATGTTTATTAATTAATTTAATGATTAAAATATTACTGTTTTAAAAAATGTTGAATATAGAAATATTAAATTATTTAAAGAACTGAAAAGATACTTTAAAAATGAAACTAAATCCGCCAGCAGGTGGCGACAAGTCACTGATTTGATCACGGACTCATTCGTTCAATTGATTCGTTCGAACGGCTGATTCATTCAGGAATGAAGCAAGTTACAGTGTTTATGAATGTGTGATCATGAATCACTGACTCACTAGATTTGTTTAAAAACAGTTCATTCATAAACGAGACACCGCTGTGTTTGCTTGGAGATGCGCTGCGGCTGAGCTGTGACTTTGTTTCAAACTATTTTCGACGACGAAATAGAGCAAAATCAGACAATAGTGTTCTAGTCAGACAACGCAAGTCACTTAATATTAACTTCTTGTCTATTGAACTGTTGTATTAAATCAGTATCACGTTTACAAACTCCCTTAAAAATAATTTTAGCTCATTTACCTTTATAATAAATGTATTTATGTGTTTATTCTGTTCGCAGGACGGCGCTCCCGACAGACCCTCGGAGGCGGCGCTCCGGACGGTTTTCCAGCGCTTCGGGAAGATCCGGAACGTGGATATCCCCATGCTGGACCCGTACCGCGAGGAGATGACCGGGAAGAACTTCAACACCTTCTCGTTCGGGGGACACCTGAACTTCGAGGGCTTCGTTCAGTATCAGGACCACACGGGCTTCGTCAGGGCCATGGACTCGCTCCGGGGGATGAAGCTCATGTTTAAGGGAGACGACGGGAAAGCCGTGGCCTGCAGCGTTAAGGTCAGCTCTCACTCCATTCTGCTGCTTCACAAAAGTCCATTCTAAACTTCACGGATTCCATTTGTTTCCTGGATTCTGTTTCGTGCTTTTAGTGATCAAAAAGCACGTCTGATTAATTAAAATCATAAACATAATTTTTTTCCCCTTTTAATTTTAATAATCAAAATGCATGTCTAATAAACTGAATTGATAACTTTATTGGTAACACTTTACAATAAGGTTCGTTAGTCATTAGCTAAGAATGAACAATCCTTCTGTAGCATTTATTAATCTTACTTAATGTTAATTTCAACATTTACCAATGCATTATTAAAATCTAAAGTTATGCTTGTTAACATTAGTTAATGCACTAATTAATTAAAATCATAAACATTTGTTTTCCTCAAATTATCCTTTTTTATTTGTATTTTTTTTTATTTAAATGTTAATAATCAAAAGGCTGAACTGAATTCATGAAACTTTATATTTTTAATAACATTATTATTATTATTTTGCAATAATAGGATCCTATGAATGTTTTATTTTTGTTTTATACATTTGTTTTTTTAATTTGAACATTTATTTTATATAAAGCCCTTATTTTTTCTGGATAATCAAAAAGTATGTCTAATGAATTAAAATCATGAAAATTTAGTAACAATTTATTAAAAGTTCAACACTCATTTCATTTTAGGCCCCTGTAAAATCTGTTTTATTTTTCCCCAAATTCTTTATTTTTTTATTATTATATTATTTTTCTATTTGCATTTTATTAATCAAAAGGCATGTCTAATCAACTGATTCATGAAACTTCACCTTTTTAATACATTTATTACTTTTTTTTTTAAACAACAATAGAATCCTATGAAATGTTTTATTTTTTCTGGATTCTGTTTGAATGATTTTAGCAATCAGATATTTCTGTTTTAATTAGAATTTTTTTATTTTAATAATCAAAAGGCATGTCTAATCAACTGAATTCATAAAATTTTAACTTTTTAATACATTTATAAAAATAATAGGATCCTTTTTTCTCCAGAAATTCTGTGTTTTCAATCTTCTGGATTTATGATGATCAAAAACTAAGCAAAATGGTAATACAATTAAAAAAGGCATAAAACATTGATTTAGTATCATTTTTAGAAAGTCCTGAAAATCTTTATTTCTAGGTTTGTGGTTTGGACCCCACTGTGCATTGATTTATAAAATCATATATTAATATTATATTTTAATGTGATCATGCCCGTCTTCTGTTGGGAAGTTCATGCAAGTTTGTAATGATGTTATTTTAGTATTGTAATAGTTTTTATTAATACTTTGAATTAAATTGTTTTAGTTTTTTTAATTAGTGCTGTCATGCATGTGTATATTTAATACAAATATGTGATGTATATATTTATATTCATATAATTGATATTATTTATAAATATTTTAAATGTATAAACATAACATATTTGTATTAAATATATACATGCATGTGTGTGTGTGGTTATATGTACATAATAAATATACACAGTACACACACATATTACATAAACAAAAACTTATTTTGGATGCCATTAATCATTTGGCAGCACTATTTTTATAAACATATTCTGTTTTCACTTTAATTTGAAAGTTTTAGTAATTTTGTGTTGTCGTCGTTTTTGTGTCAATATAGTATTTATTAATTTTAATTTTTTTGCTTGTTTAATTATTTTAGCACTTCAATTTAACATAAACAAAAACGTAGTTGCAAGTGTAGTGTTGCAATGCAATGCAAAAAAAGCGCTTAAGCAGTAAATATGAATTGTAGGGTGTTTATTATAAGCTGAAGGTGTGTTTTCTCAGGTGACGTTCGACACGACTAAACACCTGAGTGATTCGTCGCTGAAGAAGCGTCAGCAGGAGCGACTGAAGCTGCAGGAGCTGGAGAAACAGAGAGAGGAGCAGAAACGCAGAGAGAAGGAGGAGGAGGAGCGCCGCAAGCAGGAGGAGAGGTACTGCATTCAGCCACAACATCTGTTAATTTAATCAAAAATACAGTAAAAATAGTGAAATATTATTAGAATGTAAAACAGCTGTTTTCTAAGTGAATTATCTGCTATACTGTAATTTATTTCTGTAATCAAAGCTGTATTTTCAGCATCATTACTGCAGTCTTCTATCGCAATATTTAATACCTTAAACTAGAGCTGCACGATTAAATGATTAAGTAACTGGTGCTTCAAATAAGGTTTGTGTCGCTTGCATCGTTTGGCCAGTAGGTGGCGACAGGTGAGTGTTAAAAATGTGTTTGTCGTTGAATCATTCTTTCAAGAGATTCGTTCAAAAACACTGACTCATCCAGTAACGCAACAAGTGAAGTTTTTAATGAGTGATTCATTGAATCATTCATTCAAACCGAGTCATTTTAATATTAAAAATCGTGGTATTTTAAATATATATATATATATCCATGCAAATTAGTTACACACTTTTAAATAGACTGCAGCAATTAATATTTTGTCACAGCCTCTAGTAAATCACACGTTATTTTCTTAAAGGGTTAGTTCACCCAAAAATGTAAATTAGTCCATGTTTTACTCACCCTTGAGGCATCATATAATAAATAATAATAAATGTGTGGGAATATCTACTTACTTGTGAAGAAAATAATAAGCACAAGGAAGAATCATATTTATTCATTGTAGTCCATATGCATTCATATTATTATTATTATTATTATTATTAACATTGTTATTCAGATTTTTAAAATTGAACAAATATAAGTTTTGATGTTGCTTACATTTTTGGAATTTTGCACAACTTTTTGTGTGTCTCTGTGTCTGTGTGTGTGTGTCTGTGTGTGTGTGTCTGTGTTTGTGTGTCTCTGTGTTTGTGTGGGTGTGTGTCTCTGTGTTTGTGTGGGTGTGTGTGTGTCTCTGTGTCTGTGTGTGTGTGTGTGTGTGTGTGTGTGTGTGAGAGTGTGTGTGTGAGAGTATGTCTCTGTGCCTGTGTGTGTGTGTGTGTGTGTGTGAGTGTCTCTGTGCCTGTGTGTGTGTGTGTGTGTGTGAGAATGTCTCTGTGCCTGTGTGTGTGTGTGTGTGTGTGTGGAAGCTGCAGGAGCTGGAGAAACAGAGAGAGGAGCAGAAACGCAGAGAGAAGGAGGAGGAGGAGCGCCGCAAGCAGGAGGAGAGGTACTGCATTCAGCCACAACATCTGTTAATTATTTAATCAAAAATACAGTAAAAATAGTGAAATATTATTAGAATGTAAAACAGCTGTTTTCTAAGTGAATTATCTGCTATACTGTAATTTATTTCTGTAATCAAAGCTGTATTTTCAGCATCATTACTGCAGTCTTCTATCGCAATATTTAATACCTTAAACTAGAGCTGCACGATTAAATGATTAAGTAACTGGTGCTTCAAATAAGGTTTGTGTCGCTTGCATCGTTTGGCCAGTAGGTGGCGACAGGTGAGTGTTAAAAATGTGTTTGTCATTGAATCATTCTTTCAAGAGATTCGTTCAAAAACACTGACTCAACCAGTAACGCAACAAGTGAAGTTTTTATGAGTGATTCATTGAATCATTCATTCAAACAGAGTCATTTTAATATTAAAAATCGTGGTATTTTAAATATATATATATATATATCCATGCAAATTAGTTACACACTTTTAAATAGACTGTAGCAATTAATATTTTGTCACAGCCTCTAGTAAATCACACGTTATTTTCTTAAAGGGTTAGTTCACCCAAAAATGTAAATTAGTCCATGTTTTACTCGCCCTCGAGGCATCATATAATAAATGTGTGGGAATATCTACTTACTTGTGAAGAAAATAATAAGCACAAGGAAGAATCATATTTATTCATTGTAGTCCATATGCATTCATATTATTATTATTATTATTATTATTATTATTATTAACATTGTTATTCAGATTTTTAAAATTGAACAAATATAAGTTTTGATGTTGCTTACATTTTTGGAATTTTGCACAACTTTTTGTGTGTCTCTGTGTCTGTGTGTGTGTGTCTGTGTGTGTGTGTCTGTGTTTGTGTGTCTCTGTGTTTGTGTGGGTGTGTGTCTCTGTGTTTGTGTG